AACCTCCACCTCCGGGATTCAACCAATTCTCCTACCTCAGCCGCCGGAGTAGCTAGAACGACAGGCACGTGCATTTTAAAATCTAAGATTAACTCAGTAATCTTGCTTTTATAGCAAGAGGGCTTGGAGCCTGACAGATACATTTAAACTAATTATGGACAAGCTGCTTGGTGCGTTAGATAACATAGGAGCTAACCTTGTGGCACATCTCCCCACATTCCATTTTTTTTTTTTTAATTTCGTTCTGGCGCCAGGCTATAGTGCACTCAGCTCACTGCAACCTCTGCCTCCCCAGTTCAAGTGATTCATCTGCCTCAGCTTCCCAAGTAGCTGGGACTACAAGCGCATGCCACCATGCCAGGCTAATTTTTGTATTTTTAGTAGAGATGGGGTTTCACCATATTGGTCAGGCTGGTCTTGAACTCATAACCTTGTGATCCACCCACCTTGGCCTCCCAAAGTGCTGGGATTACAGGCCTGAGCCACCGCACCCAGCCCATCTCCCCACATTCCTAATATTCACCCCTAAATCTATCATCAGTAAACTCTTGTTTGGAAGCCATAGCAACTCTTCCCAAGATCTGACCTGTCTTCTGCCATTTGCCTGATTTCTCCCCATAGAATAGGAAAACACTGTGTAGGAGATACCGTGAATAGAAACATGAATATAGACCAGGCACGGTGGCTCACACCTGTAATCTCAGCAGTTTGGGGGGCCAAGATGGGTGGATCACCTGAGGTTAGGTATTTGAAACCAGCCTGGTCAACATGGCAAAACTGGTCTCTACTAAAAATACAAAAATTAGCCAGGACTAGTGGTGGGCGTCTATAATCCTAGCTACTCGGGAAGCTGAGGTAGGAGAATTGCTTGAACCCAAGAGGCGGAAGTTGCAGTGAGCTGAGATCGAGCCACTGCATTCCAGCCTGGGCAACTGAGTGAGACTCCGACTCAAAAAGAAAAAAAAGTATAAAAATTATCTGGGCATGGTGGCGGGTACCTGTAATCCCAGCTACTGGGTAGGCTGAGGCAGGGACAACTGCTCAAACCCGGAAGGCAGAGGTGGCAGGGAGCTGAGATCACACCCCTGCACTCCAGCCAGGGCAGGGGGACAGGGCAAGCCTCTCTCAAAAAAAATAAAGAGGCCAGGCACAGTGGCTCACACTGTGAGCCACTTGTAATTCCGGCAGTTTGGGAGGATGAAGCTGATGGATCACGAGGTCAGGAGTTCGAGACCAGCTTGACCAACACAGTGAAACCCCGTTTCTACTAAAAATACAAAAACTAGCTGGGAGTGATGGCAGGCACCTGTAATCCCAGCTACTTGGGGGGCTGAGGGAGGAGAATCACTTGAACCCAGGAGGCAGAGGTTGCAGTAAGCCAAGATCATGCAACTGCACTCCAGCCTGGGTGACACAGCTAGGCTCCATCTCAAAAAACAAAAACAAACAAAACAAAAAAACTATATATATAAAATAAAATGATTCAAATAAAAAATTGTTAGTTCCTGTGAGTTCTATACTGGACCCTTACATGTTATTTCCCGTGGTATCTTAGCAATGATTCTGAATAAAGATCAGACTCCTTATTCAGCAGATAGGTTAGTTCTCAGCAATAGAAGCTGCGGGGATCCCGTGGATATGAGGATGAAGGTTAGAAGCGCTTGGGATCATAGCTGCAGGTCTGATTTGTGGACTATGAGACCAAGACAGGAAGGCAGCAACTGCCGAGGGGCCGGGGTGGGAGTAGGGAGGAAACAGGACACAAGAAAATAAGTACAAACCACCAGACTGCGGTCAGTAATCAACAGAATTTCCAAAGTTTATATGGAAAAGATTTTCCTGGTTTGGTGTTTTGAAGGGATTGTAAAAGAAATTCAAGTTGCTTGATTTTTTTCATTCTTTTTCTTTTACATGGTCTCAAACTTTGTAAAACAACAACAAAAAAGAATGTCTAATGTGTGCCTTTAGAACTGGTGAATGAATCAACCTCACTTTTTTAATACCTGAGATTGTCACTAAAGCACTGTCTCACCTGATTTACACTTAAAAATCTGACACTGAATTTATCCTAGATGATAAGGTGCAAGTCTCTCGTCTCCTAGAAATGATCAAGCTAGGAAACACCCACCCACGAGGCACAGGGTAAAATGCCCTCCTGGAAGCTGGTGGGGTAGGAAGTTGCTGAGGCCCAGTCTGTGTCCAGCAGTGTACATTCTGTGTGGTGACGGAAGCTCTTTGTTTGACCGTACATTAGTCAGGCTTCTGAACCCTCTGCTAGACCCATCTGTGCACTTTTTGCAAAGTTCAGTTTTAGCAAATTACCCTGCTGTGTCAGTTTAGCTAGCAGGAATCTCCATCCTCCATATACTTATCAGGGTCCTCATCCCACAGCTGATGTCAGATAACCTTGGCCTGTCCTCAGCGAGAATCCCGTTAGGTCAGTTTAGCCAGAATCCTCCCTTACCCCTGATGTTCCCTCGTGGTCATGTCCCATCCACTAACTCCTATCCTCCTCCTTGACTATAATTCCCACTGGCTTGTGTCGGATTCAGAGTTGAGCACAACTCCTCTCCCCTGCTGTAAGAACTACTTGCCGTGCTCCTGGACCTACATAAGGTGAATCTGTTTCTTTAACAATGACTCACCTGTCTTTTTCTCCTTTCCACTTCACACTAGCTGAGGCTTATCTGCATCAAAGTGGAGGGACTGGCCCCAGCGGAGCCTCAGGGCTTCACCTTGATGGCCTGCAGGCTCACATTCCACTTTATCTGGTGCCCTCTGGCTCCCAGAGTCCAGTTTGCCAATCAAGTGATGGAGGTTGAAAGGAGGGATGAGGTGAAGGAGGGTAAATCCTTTTCTAAGTTCTGTTGGCCTGACATGTATTTAGGTTATTTCTTCACTTTAGAAAGGAACTTGACCCCACCCTTGGTTTTGTATCTCCCACTGCCGTGAGCAGCCTCACCTGTAAAAATGGGGCATTTAAGAGACTCCGTCTCCTAGGGCAGTGGTTTTGAACAGGGAGTCCCTGACCAGTAGCACCTGCATCTCTTGGGAACTTGTTAGAAAGCAAATTCTGGAACTGTGTCCCAGACTTGGAGGATGGCCCTCCTGAGTCTTCAGGAGCCTCCAGGTGATTCTGATGCATACTGGAGTTTGAGAACCACTGCCATAGGGTTGCTGTGGAGATGACATGAGGAGTACGAGTAAAATGCTCAGAACAGCACCTGCACTTAAGAGTTATTCAGCTATTCCTATCATCACCATTGTAAGGCCAGCTGCCTCACAGAGGGTTAAACGGACACATCCATCTCTCTCCGCGCCTGATAACTAAGTCATCACCCAAGCTCGTTATCTGGCCTTGCTGCATAGCTTCCTCGCACCCGCCTCCACATACCAGACCCAAGCCCACATTCAGCACAAAATCATGCAATCAACCCCCAGCCCGCTGTTGAAAAATCCTGCAGAAAATTTTTTTAAAGAAGCCCCATCAGACCCTGCCCAGTAGCAGTCTGCCCTGTACGCCCCCCGGAAGGCCCGCTTACCCAAGGTCCCGCCCACCTACCCATAACCACTAGCTCCAGGCATTTCCTGCTTCATTAATAGCCAATAAGATTGCCTTTGCTTTGTTTCCCCAATAGCCAATCAAGGCCCAAGGTCCTGCCCACCTACCATTGGCAGCTAGTTCCAGGTATTTCCAGCAGCTAGTTCCAGGTATTTCCTCCTTCTTAACAGCCAACAAGATTGCCTTCACTTTGTTTCCCCAATAGCCAATCAATTACCTTCCCTCCCCATAAAACCCCAGGGCCTGAACAGCCGGGCGTGACTTCTTTGGCCCCTTCCTGGACCACAGAACCTCGCCCGGGAGCTGAATAAATTAGCTTCTCATTTTCTTATACTTGCCTCAGTTTCCTCATTTTATCTCGGCAGTAAACCTTACAACCATCATCATCGTCATCATCATCATCATTGCAGGGATCTTTTCTAACTATGCTTTAATATCCAGAAGTCCCAGGAACTCTCAGATGGGGGCGCCCTTCCTCTGGAGCAACCCCCAGGGCAAGTGCATCTGCAAGCTCAGCCTCTCCCAGCATAGAGGCTTCTCTGTCTGCACCACTCACCAAAATGACACAGGGATTGAGCTTTATGCAAGTGTGTGTGTGTGTGTGTGTGTGTGTGTGTGTGTTTGTGTATGTGTGTATACATATACACACTCCTGCATAAATACATATATTTTTAAAATTGTGATACATTTAACATAGCATTTGGGTGGGGCCTGAATCACTTTTAGTCTAGCACAAGCGGGTCACTTCAGGCCGTCCCACCTCCATCAGCATCTTCAGTCCTCCCTGATATATCTCATTTATGCCTCTTATTGATTCAGAGGTCCCATCCCAAGGGGCTAAAAGAAACATTAATTAACCTTTCCACAAAGTTATGAACAATCCATGGATTACAACATTGAATTCATCCCTACTAAAACCATCTCCAGAAATTCAGATGTAGTAACCTTTTTTTCCAAATGTTTTAAAGGTCCCAGGTGACCTTGATATTCCATAGACGATACCTTACACAGCAAGGTGCTTCTGGGGATGGGAGCCAGCTGGCCTTCCCTGGAATCCCAACTCTAGGTCCCGTTTAGAACATGAGGTCCAATTTAGAGAAGCTTTTTGTATGCAGCATTCACTCAAAGTTCACAGGTGTAAGAAAACACAGATTAACATTCAGAGGAAAAGGAAGGGACAGAGGTGGAGATGCCTGGTCAGTGTGGCCACAGTGTCCTGGGGGAAATGCCCTGTATGAACAGAGGGGACAAATACAAGTGGTTTTGTGGGGAGACGAGCAATGCAGATGAAAGGGACACTATCCAGACAACCTTCCAACTCAGGAGGAAGGACAGAATTCAAAAGAGAAAAGAAGACACAGAAGCTGAGAAGTGCCAGAAAGTCAGAAATAACTTAAGACAGTGAAAATCAGTCACCTTTAGATGTGATGATTTACTGATAGGAGAATCAATGTCACGCATATTTACTAAATACTTTTATATTATTACCAGTATAACAGCACAGGATGCCTTTCTGCACCTGACTCTACCAGATTGCCCTAAATAGAGACCCTGGGTGGTGTTAGCTCATTCTGAAACTGGGAGCCAGTTCAGGCAAATTTTATCAGATTCATGCTTTGCTGAAAATACTGGCACGTATCCCAGCCAATGAGGAGTAACTCAAGGATGGTCCTGCTTCCCACATAAGGGAGTTCTGGTCCTGAGGAAATGGGGCTATATTTGAAAATAACGAAAGGGACACGATGGTGTGATGAGTATCCTAATGACTGCTTCGGGTAAACTTGGGTTGGGCACGTGGGTTTCTATCCCTCTATCTAGAGAAGGAAACATTCCTCATGACTGACAAAAGCAGGGTCAGCTACTGATTGTCGGCCCTGCTCTAAGGCTGCCTTTCAGTTACTCACATTTGAAGTCCAGCGTTCACTTATGTCTGCTCCAAATCCAGTTTCCAGGAAAACACAATAAATTGTCAGTCCACTAGAAGTGAAGAAAGGGTTTTTTTTTTGTTTTTTTTTTTTTTTCTTGAGACGGAGTTTCACTCATGTTACCCAGGCTGGAGTGCAATGGCGCGATCTCGGCTCACCGCAACCTCCGCCTCCTGGGTTCAGGCAATTCTCCTGCCTCAGCCTCCTGAGTAGCTGGGATTACAGGCACGCACCACCATGCCCAGCTAATTGTTTGTATTTTTAGTAGAGACGGGGTTTCACCGTGTTGACCAGGATGGTCTCGATCTCTTGACCTCGTGATCCACCCGCCTCGGCCTCCCAAAGTGCTGGGATTACAGGCTTGAGCCACCGCACCCGGCCTAGAAAGGGGTTTTTGATGTGTTTATTGTGTTTTTGAGAATATTTACAAGAAAAGGAAGAACAGAAGCTTCCCAGTTGTGCTGCAGACCGGCAAAATTGCATTTTAAGCAGAGATTTTACCCACCATGACCTATTTTAGTTTATCTCACATACATGGGGTTGAGCAACCCAGGAAAAACAGAAAAAAGCAATGGCGATTGATGATCATTTGACTCAAAAATCCCAGTGGCCCAGGAGTTCTTTAACTCTGCATCAAACCACAGAAGAGAGCACTGCAGAGGCAGCATATTGACATGGCTCCAGGTCATGTTTATGGCCCTGTGTCCCTAATCTGTCCATCTCTGCTCTGTCCTAAGACCTCAGGTGACCAGCCCTTCTTAGGCTTCAAGGACTTGAAACATGGTCTGTTACTTTCCTGTGTTTTCTGGCAATTGTATCTAATATCTTCACTGGTTCATCTTAAGATAAGACCCTAACAAGGGTGTTTCAATGATTTAAGCACACTCTTAGGTTCCAAAACATTTTTTAAGAGAAATAATAGTAGCATCACACTGGAGCCAGCATGCTAAGTACTACGTAACTTGTCCCATTAATCCTCACAACAGCCACAGAGGCAAGCATTTTTAATTCCTCTTTTTCAAGTGTGGAAATGGAGGGTCTCCAAGTTTAAGTGTCTTTCCCAATGTTACATGGGAGTTAAGAAACAGATCGTGATTTGAACCTGGAACTACTTAATTCCTAAATCAGCAGCTTTAATTACTCTTTGTTTACTTAGTTATTATTTGTGTCTTTCAGTCAGCTGTTATACTCACGACTTACCTAATAAATAGTAGATTCTAAATAAATATTCGTAGAATAAATGAATACTATCTCTCTTTAAGACCTAAAGATTGGAGGTGGGCCAGGTGCGGTGGCTCACACCTGTAATCCCAGCACTTTGGGAGGCTGAGGCAGGAGGATCACCTGAGGTCAGGAGTTCAAGACTAGCCTGGCCAACATGGTGAAACCATGTCTCTACTGAAAATACAAAATTAGCTGACACGGTGGTGCATGCCTGTAATCCCAGCTATTCAGGAGGGTGAGGCAGGAGAATCACTTGAACCCAAAAGGCAGAGGTTGAAGTGAACCAAGATCATGTTATTGCACTCCAGCCTGGGCAAAAAGAGCAAAACTCCATTCAAAAAAAAACAAAAACAAAAACTGCTGGGTATGGTGGCAAGCACCTGTAATCTCAGCTACTCAGGGCGCTGAGGCAGGAGAATCACTTGAAACTGGGAGGCAGAAGTTGCAGTGAGCCAAGATTGAGCCACTGCACTCCATCCTGGGCAACAGTGCTAGACTCCGCCTCAGAAAAAAAATAAAATAAAAAGACTGGAGGCATAATGGTAGAATGGCAGTTCAGTGTTTGGTTTCATAGTTAACTGAAATATCAGGGTCGGTGTCTTTGTGCCCATGAGAGGTCTAGACAATGCTGCAGCTCCCTGGTACAAGAATGTGAATTTCTTTGTGCCTTGCAGAAATATTTCATGTTGAGGCTTCTTTAGGATTTCACTCTTTCTTGTTGTTGTTAATAGCTTGCATGATAGATCAACTGACTGAAGTTATTACAGTGCTGGAAAATTTGAATTAGATATAAATCATGAGAAAAATCTTTTTCAGAAATGGGGAAAGTAAAATTTAGCTTCAAATAATGGTTTCTTAATTTTTTTTTAACTCTGATAATAGTCAAATTCTTTCTCCTGTAACTTCGGGTAGTGATGCATCAAAATGGTTTATCTTGCCCTTGACAACTCCTCATCATCCACCATCTCCCTGTTTTTCTACTCTACCTTCTTTTTCCCAGAGCAACAGGATAAAAACATGCCCATGAAGCCACCTGTCACTGTCTCCTACTATGAAGCATTTCCCTGAAACCAGAGTCAAATCAAGAGAGAAGCACAGAGACCCAACTCCCGGGCTCACTGGATGGTGTCACCATAGTTTGTGTCCAGGCCCTCTCAAGGGAATACTTACCAAACCACATGGCTCCATATTTCTTGTAGATGATTTAAAGTACCTACATGTCCTAAGACTAAGATGCACCAACACCCAGAACAGTTTATCTGAAGTGAAAACTGTTCTCAGATCTATGAGAAAAGCAGTAGCCTCCTCAGGATTGAATCAATCTCACCAGGTTTTTCCATGAAGGAGTCAGGCTCTTACTTGCCCAAAAGGCTGGTAGAAGTCAAGGAGACTTTTGGTGGCCTTGCAAAGGTCTCATTTCATCACTTCATCTTGCAAAAGGGACATTTCACTAGCTGCACAGATTTCAAACAGGGACACGGGAAATATGACATCACAAAAGGTGCAGAATAAGTCCCCAGAAACTTACACCAAATAAGTGGAAATGTATGAATTCCCTGGGGAAGAAAAAACCTCAAAATAATGTGTTTTTTTGTTTGTTTTGTTTTTTGTTTTTTAACGGAGTTTCACTCTTGCTGCCTGAGCTGGAGTGCAATGGAGCGATCGGCTCACTGCAAGCTCCGCCTCCCAGGTTCAAGCGATTCTCCTACCCCAGCCTCCCGAGTAGCTGGGATTACAGGCATGTGCCACCACACCCAGCTAATTTTTGGTATTTTTAGTAGAAATGGGGTCTCTCCATGTTGGTCAGGCTAGACTCAAACTCCTGACCTCAGTTGATCCACCCACCTCGGCCTTCCAATGTGCTGGGATTACAGGTGTGAGCCACTGTGCCCAGCCTCAACATAATGATCTTGAGGTAACTTAGCAAGATGCAAGAAAATATACACAGGAAAATCAATGAAGTAAGAAAAACAATCTAACACCTGATTGAGAAATTTAAGAAAGAGATAGCTATCATAAAAAGAACCAAACAGAAATCTTGGAATTCAGTGAATGAAGAATTCAGTGAATGCAAGCAAAAAAGTAAATTTCTGAACTTGAATCCAAGTCTTTTGAAATAATGAAGTCTAAGGAAAAAAAAGAGAAAAGAATTTTAAAAAATAAGAAAGCCTATGGGACCTATGCAACATCGTTAAGAGAACATGGTTTGGCATTAAAGGAGTTACAAAGGGAGATGAAATGGGAAAAGACACGGAAAGCTTACTTAACTAAATAATAGCTGAAAAATGTCTAATTCCTGGAAAAGATGTGAAGATATAGATCCGCGAAGTTTAAAGTTTCCCATACAAATTCAACCCAAACAGTTTCTTTCTGAGGCATATTAGAATGGATTCATCAAAAGACAAAGAGAGAATTCTAAAAGAAGCCAGAGAAAAGTGTCAAGTCACCTATAAGGGAATCTCCATCAGATTCTGAACAGATTTCTTGGCAGAAACCTTGCAGGCTGAGTGATATTGGAATAATGTATTCAAATTGCTGAAGAAAAAAACAGCAAAACTATTCATCAGAAATAAAGAATTATTATTTCCCAGGCAAGGACACGCTGAGGGAATTCATCACTCCTGTATCAGCCTTCTAAGAAAAGTGTAAAGTAGTTCTTTAATCAGGACCAAAACGACAGTAACTACTAACATGAACACACACGAAACTTCAAGCCTTACTGACAGAGGTAAACTCATAGTTAAATTGAGAATACTTCATTACTACAATAGAAAAACACTGTTAAAGGTAAAAATCAAAATAACACTATATTTAAAATTCATTTTTAAGGAAGACCCAATATAAAAAGTTCCAAATTAAGGCAATAAAAGTATAAACTATGTATGTGTGTGGAGGGGGAGACATCTAACATATGTGTATGTGACCAAAGTTAACATAAGTATTTCGATAGGAATTGCATTGAATCTGTAGATTGCTTTGGGTAGTATGAACATTTTAACAATATTGATTTTTCGGTTACATGATCATAGCATGTCTTTTTATTTATTTGTGTGTTCTTCAATGTCTTCATCAGTTTTTTATAGCTTTCATTGTAGAGATCTTTCTCTTCTTTGGTTAATTTCTGGCTATTTAATTTTATTTGTGGTTATTTTAAATGGTTTTATAAAGCTCTATTTCTTGACCTGTGTGGAATTCAAGAGTGTTCGTCTCATGGTAATTCACTAAGCTTTACCTGTTCATGTGCTTTTTTTCCCATCTCTTCTTTGTTTTATCATAAAAAATTTGGAAGACACCACATGTTCTCACAATGATAACACATGGACACAGGAAGGGGAACATCATACACCGGGGCCTGGAGGGTGGGGGGCTAAGGGAGGAATAGCAGGGAGTTAGGGGGACTGTGTCGGGATAGCATTAAGAGAAATACCTAATGTAGATGACGGGGTGATGAATGCAGCACATCACCAGCATGGCATGTGTATACCTATGTAATAAGCCTGCAAGATCTGCACATGTACCCCAGAACTCAAAGCACAATAAATAAATTTTTTTTTAAAGTTTGGAATTTTTTTTAAAAGCTACCAGGAGGTGACTGGGGACTCTACTGAAGGCAACATGGAGTGGAACACAGACGGTGGAGGGTGCAGGAGAGGGGAAAAAAAGGAGAAAGAGGGGACAGGAAGTTCATGCTTGACCCAGTATGTACAGAATATGGCAGCATCTGGCTTGGGGATTTGATGGGCCTTTGTGCTTTAGTGCGAGTCCCCTGGGATGATTTCCTGGTCATTCCTAATACTTGTTTTGGGGGCCAGAGAGCCTGAAAGCCTGGTTTTGGGAGCCAGCACCATCATCAGAAACCACGAAGGGCCTCTGTACTTTCTAGTGAGGGCACCGGGGGCAGGAGTGTCCTGCAGAGCCAGTTGCATCAACTCAGGCTCCGTCCTTAAGGAGCTCATTTTTCAAAAATGCACTGTTTGGCTTATGAGAGCCCCATGATTTAAGAATCACCATACTGCGAGTTTCCAGACAGAAGCATGAATTCTTTTTGTTGTTGTTGTTAGTAGCACGATTATTTTATTATATACTTTATAAAAAACAAACGCTGAAAGACATACACAGCCCCCTGCCCACCCCCATGGCCACTAGGGAGGCAGCTCATACCTTTCCTAATGTAGATCTGACCACATTGTTTCCATATATACCTGTAGATACTTCTGTCCCCTCAAATATTTGTATCTCAAAAAAGGAGGTGCAAAGAGTATATAAAGATAAATTTTCTTGTTGTTGTTATAGTACGAACACCAGACAACTACCGGGGGCAAAACAAAAACACAAACCCCATCTTCAGCGAGGAATGGAAGGTCTGTCACCTGCCTCAAGTAGCTAAATCACCTGCTGTAACCGGCACCTCCCTGACATTCATGGGTTTGTAGGGACATGGCCCAGGTGATTGCTTCTACTTGTTTCCAGAAGGCACATGTCTCCTATATCCTTTCTTAGTAACTAACTAAAGATGAACTACAGGAGAACCCAGTATTTAGATTCTGCCCAGAGGTATTAAATGCACAAGGAGGCGGCCCCTGCTCCTCAACAGCGTCCTGCTGCGCCAGAACCCACACCACGTGCACATGTGGCATAAGCGTGTCGCCCTGCACTAGGGCCGCCCCCAGGAGATCATCAACACCTACACAGAGGCTGTGCAGACGGTGGACCCCTTCAAGTCCACAGGCAAACCCCACACTCTGTAGGTGGCATTTGCCAAGTTTTAAGAGGACAACGGGCAGCTGGACGATGCCCGTGTCATCCTGGAGAAGGCCACCAAGGTGAACTTCAAGCAGGTGGATGACCTGGCAAGCATATGGTGTCAGTGCGGGGAGCTGGAGCTCCGGCACGAGAACTATGACGAGGCCCTGCAGCTATTGCAGAAGGCCAGGGCGCTGCCTGCCCACCGGGCCAAGTACTTCGACCGCTCAGAGCCCGTGCAGAACCGCGTGTACAAGTCACTGAAGGTGTGGTCCATACTCGCCGACCTGGAGGAGAGCCTCGGCACCTTCCAGTCCACCAAGGCCGTGTACGACAGCATCCCGGACCTGCGCATCGCGACACCCCAGATCGTCATCAACTACGCCATGTTCCTGGAGGAGCACAAGTACTTCGAGGAGAGCTTCAAGGCGTACGAGCGCTGCATCTCGCTGTTCAAGCGGCCCAACGTGTCGGACATCTGGAGCACCTACCTTGCCAAATTCATCGCCCGCTACGGGGGCCGCAAGCTGGAGCGGGCACGGGACCTCTTCGAACAGGCTCTGGACCGCTACCCACCAAAATAGCCAAGACCTTGTACCTGCTGTATGCGCAGCTGGAGGAGTGGGGCCTGGCCCGGCACGCCATGGCCGTGTACGAGCGCGCCACCAGGGCCATGGAGCCTGCGCAGCAGTACGACATGTTCAACATCCGCATCAAGCGGGCGGCCGAGATCTACGGCGTCACCCACACCCGCAGCATCCACCAGAAGGCCATCGAGGTGCTGTCGGACGAGCATGCACGTGAGATGTGCCTGCGGTTCGCGGACATGGAGTGCAAGCTGGGGGGATCGACCGCGCCCGGGCCATCCACAGCTTCTGCTCCCAGATCTGCTACCCCCGGACGACCGTGGCGTTCTGGCAGACGTGGAAGGACTTAGAGGTCCGGCACGGCAACGAGGACACCATCAAGGACATGCTGCGCATCCGGCGGGGCGTGCAGGCCACATACAACACGCAGGTCAACTTCATGGCCTGGCAGATGCTCAAGGTCTCGGGCAGCGCCATGGGCACCGTGTCCAACCTGGCCCCTGGGCAGAGCGGCATGGATGACATGAAGCTGTTGGAACAGCGCACGGAACAGCTGGCAGCCGAGGCGGAGCGAGACCAGTCCCCGCGTGCCCAGAGCAAGATCCTGTTCGTGAGGAGCGATGCCTCCAGCGGGGAGCTGGCAGAGCTGGCGCAGCAGGTCAACCCCGAGAGGATCCAGCTGGGCGAGGACGAGGACGAGGACGAGGACGAGGACGAGGACGAGGACGAGATGGACCTGGAACCCAACGAGGTCCAGCTAGAGCAGCAGAGCGTGCCAGCTGCCGTGTTCGGAAGCCTGAAAGAAGACTGACCCGTCCCTCCTCCCTTCCCCCAATACGGCCGTGTTTGTAAAAAAAAAATAAAAAATAAAAAATTTTGGTTTCCAGTGTCTCTGCAATGGCGGCTCTGGACTCCCTGTTGTTCTTCACTGGTCTCGGCCTGAGCGAGCAGAAGGCCCGCGAGACGCTCAAGAACCAGACTCCGAGCGCGCAGCTGCGCGAGGCCGCTACCCAGGCTCAGCAGACCCTGGGCTCCACCATTGACAAGGCTACCGGGACCCTGTTATATGGCTTGGCCTCGCGAGTCAGGGATACCCGGCGTCTCTCCTTCCTTGTAAGCTGCATAGCCAGTAAGAAGACCCACACTGAGCCCCGGCTGAGCGCTGCCCTTGACTATGTGCGGAGTCACCCCTTGGACCCCATTGACACTGCGGACTTTGAGCAGGAATGTGGCGTGGGTGTCACTGTGACCCCAGAGCAGATTGAGGAGGCTGTGGAGGCTGCCATTAACAAGCACCGACCCCAGCTCCTGGTGGAACGTTACCGTTTCAACGTGGGGCTGCTGATGGGAGAGGCTCGGGCTGTGCTCAAGTGGGCAGATGGCAAAATGATCAAGAACGAAGTGGACATGCAGGTCCTCCACCTTCTGGGACCCAAGATGGAGGCTGATCTGGAGAAGAAGCCCAAGGTGGCCAAAGTGCAGCTGGAGGAAACAGACCGGACAGCAAAAGATGTGATAGAGAATAGTGGGACTGCTGACCAGACCCTGTCTCTGATGGAGCAGCTCCGGGGAGAGGCCCTTAAGTTCCACAAGCCTGGTGAAAACTACAAGACCCCAGGTTATGTGATGACTCCACACACCACGAATCTACTAAAGCAGCACCTGGAGATTACTGGTGGGCAGGTACGTACCCAGCTCCCGCCAGAACCCAATGGAATCCTGCATATTGGACATGCCAAAGCCACCAATTTCAACTTTGGCTATGCCAAGGCCAACAATGGCATCTGTTTTCTGTGCTTTGATGACACCAACCCTGAGAAGAAGGAAGCAAAGTTCTTCCCTGCCATCTATGACATGGTGGCCTGGCTGGGTTACACACCTTACAGAGTGACATATGCCTCTGACTATTTTGACCAGCTATATGCCTGGGCTGTGGAGCTCATCCGCAGGGATCTGGCTTATGTGTGTCACTAGCGAGGGGAGGAGCTCAAAGGCCGTAATCCTCTGCCCTCACCCTGGAGAGACCGTCGTCCCATGGAGGAGTCACTGCTGCTCTTTGAGGCAGTGCGCAAGGGCAAGTTTTCAGAGGGTGAGGCCACACTATGGATGAAGCTGGTGATGGAGGATGGCAAGATGGACCCTGTAGCCTATCTAGTCAAGTATACACCACACCACCGCACAGGGGACAAATGGTGCATCTATCCCACCTATGACTACACACACTGCCTCTGTGACTCCATCGAGCACATCCCTCACTCACTCTGCACCAGGGAATTCCAGGCCCAATGCTCTTCCTACTTCTGGCTTTGCAATGCACTGGACGTCTGTTGCCCTGTTCAGTGGGAGTATGGCCGCCTCAACCTGCACTACGCTGCTGTGTCTCAGAGGAAGGCCCTCCGGCTTGTAGCAACTGGTGCTGTGCGGGACTGGGATGACCCACGGCTCTTCACACTCAAGGCCCTGCGACGGCGGGGCTTCCCACCTGAGGGCATCAACAACTTCTGTGCCTGGGTGGGAGTGGCAGTAGCACAGACCACAATGGAGCCACATCTTCTAGAAGCCTGTGTGCGTGATGTGCTGAATGACACAGCCCCACGAGCCATGGCTGTGCTGGAGTCACAATGGGTCATCATCACCAAATTTCCCGCTGCCAAGTCCTTGGACATCCAGGTGCCCAACTTCCCAGCTGATGAGACCAAAGGCTTCCACCAGGTTCCTTTCGCACCCATTGTGTTCCTTGAGAGGACTGACTTCAAGGAGGAGCCAGAGCCAGGCTTTAAGCGCCTGGCTTGGGGCCAGCCTGTAGGCCTGAGACATACAGGCTACGTCATTGAGCTGCAGCGTGTTGTCAAGGGCCCCAGTGGTTGTGTAGAGTCTGGAGGTGACGTGCAGAAGGGCAGATGCTGGAGAGAAGCCAAAGACCTTTATTCACTGGGTGTCACAGCCTTTGATGTGCCAGGTTCGCCTCTATGAGCGACTATTCCAGCACAAGAACCCTGAAGATCCTACTAGGTGCCTGGTGGATTCTTAAGTGGCTGAACCCAGCATCACTACGCGTGGTGGAGGCAGCATTAGTGGACTGCCCTGTGGCCCTGGCAAACCCTTCAACGAGTTCCAGTTTGAGCGTCTTGGGTACTTCTCTGTGGATCCAGACAGCCATCAGGGAAAGCTTGTTTTTAACCGAACTGTGACACTGAAGGAAGACCCGGGAAAGGTGTGAGCTGGAAACACTGTGAACCTACCTCGTCCTCCTGGAGGTTGGGGCTACTCTCACCACCCCAAATTCCATGTTAATAAAGAACAGCTAAATTAAAAAAAAAAAAAAAAGAAGAAGAAGAAGCATGAATTCTTTAGAGCAGCACCATCCAGTAGAACTCTCCATGAATTTGCTTTTAAAGTGCATGGCTTGTCTATCACTTGTGAAGTGCTTTGCCAAGTATACTGGGGTCTTGTGAAAACTCAAATAATGTTGACCAATAACCACTTCAAAACCTCTTGTGTTCACTTAGATGAAAGGTATTTAAATTTAATTTAGATGTACAGACGTTATTGGGCAGGTACTATGTCCCAAAGCACTGTTTCAGGCAGTGGAGATACAACGTTGACGCATGGCAGCCTTTGTGGAGTTCACATGTCAGTTTATATACGCGGAGAGAGGGGGGTTGCAAATTCCAAAATGGAGCAGTTAACTAACAAAACAGCGTTTACAGTATGGAAATCGAGAAACTTTTCAAATAGAATCTTTTCACCTATAAACCCATTAAACCAAGACCCATTGCTGTGCCAGTTTCCCAATGCCACAGTTTCCCTTTATTTTCAAAGAAGCCGGCAAACTCTGAAAAATTCTATGGCTTACACATGTTACTCTTGGGCAATTATAGAATAACAGCTAACACATAATTCTTAATAAGTTGTAGGAATGTAGGTACCTGTCCTAGGGAATTTACATCTATTAATGCATTTAAACATGACAGCAGCCCTGTGAGGTAGGTCCTACCATTATTTCTATGTTCAGGTGGGGAAAGGGAGGCACAGAGAGGGTAAGTTGCCTGAGGTCAAGCTGGTGACCGGTGGTGTCACGTGTCACACTCTGGCAGTCTGTGCTTTAACTACTATACCAGACCAAATTTCAAAAACAAATGCTCTTGAGTACAAGTAAAATATTTCCAAGAACATTCTGAGCAGTTAGTTCTAAAGGCAATGGGAGGTGCTTTGACTCCGGGAACTAACTCAAGGATTCCCAGGCACAGACAGAGCCTGCTTTCTACCCTCAAACATGACAGCAGGGCCCAGTCTAGACATAGGTGGGCAGCGGCGCTTGTCACCGTGACGAAAGGAAGAGATGAACCATAGCATAATCTTTCCTGATCTCCGTGTATTATCCTGAAATCCCTTTGGATCAAGTCACCCTAACATAAAGAAAATTTGAGCAAAGACTGAGTGCACAAAGCTTAGTGCCTGTTTGGGATGTTGACGTTCAGCAGACGTAGCTGGTGGCAGTTGTCACAGATAGAAATGCCATGGAGGGCAGCCAGCAGTGATGGAGGCAGCATTCTTTGGTGGATCAAACTCGGCCTGTGAGATCTGTGGGTCTTCAGAGCTGGTGATTTGATTTTGTCAGAACACACATATTGTTCTGGCACAGAGTAACCACCTCCAGTTAACCAACTCCCCATTGTGGGATAAAGCTCAATGTCAAGGGATTCATTTATAAATAGGAGCTGTTGCTTCTCAGTGACAAGGAGCTGCGCCTGATCATCAGGGACCCTCTTATCAGAGTGCATGAGAGTTCACGTTAAAAATCAGCGGTTGTTGGTGACCACACAATCAGAATAAAGGGACATATTTTCCAGGTTAATAAAATGATGGAAACAGCATTCCGGGGGCCTGAGAGTCCCTGCCCCAGCCCCGGGAGTGGATCAAACCAAGGCATTTTCACCCACCCTGATGCAGAACGAGCTCCTCCGTTCAGGTGGAGAGTCTGTGCCACTCTTCAGATGACAGCTGTGCATCTGCACGCTTTTTGCTGAAAAGCAAGAGCAAAATCGAACCTGGCTCAATTAAGTGAAAGGAGTTACTGCATGGATGGCGATACGAGAAGAGGGGCAGGGAAATGCTGGGAGGGTCTCTGGTGAGGGCTCCACCCCTGGGCCTATGCCCACGGACCTAGGTGAGGACAGGCATTTCTGTTTCAGTGCCCAAATGCTGTATTTCCCAAGACCACCCTGACCTGCCACACCCCCATCCTGTGCCTATAAAATCCCTGAGACCCTGGTGGGCACACACACAAGCAGCTGGATGTCAAGAGGAACATATTGATGGAAGAACACACCAGCGTTGAACAGCGGATGGCGGAAGAGAAGGCAGGGGCTCTAACGCAGGCCACCTATGGACCCACGGATAAAGTGAAGGAGCACACTGTAACATCCGCCCGCTGGGGCTTCAGCTGTAAACATTCACACCCAGATGCTGCCATAGGGTGGGAGCCCCACAGACTGCCTGACTGCACGCCTCCCCCTAGAGGTTTGAGCCACAGTGCAGGGACACAGCGAGCCATACCCCCATCGCATGCTCTCATACCCCCATCGCATGCTCTGTGACGAGGATAAGGGAATTTCTGTTTCAGTCAGAAAGCGGAGGGCCTTGGCTAGGAATGGGCAGCGTGAGAGGCCCAGGAAGCGGGAAGCACGTCCCTGGTGTTGCAACACGGCCAGTCTGTCCTGAACACCAACTCCGGTGCTGTGCCTCTCACTCAGGTGTCAAATCCTGGAGAAGGTGTCTAATTTTTAAGCTAATGCACATGCCTGACCTTGGCCTAGAAGAGG